TGTAATGTGTGTGTGTGCCGTGTATGTATGTATGTATGTATGCATGTACATGTATATATATATATATATATACAATATATATATATATATATATACTTATAGACTTATAGACTTATAGGTGTAGGTATATGACCATTTCTTTGTTTGTGTCTCTTGATATATATAAATTGAGTCAAATTCTTTTACTTGTATGTGACAATGCTCTACAACGCGGCGATCTAATTTGTTGCCGTATATATTAAAACTCATTTATTGCTAGTGCTGACACAAGAGGCTTTTGCGGCCCTGGCCGAATCCACGAGCAACTACTCTATCTGGGTAGAGCAGAACGTAAGCATAGTGGCATCTGAGATGTCACAGTTGCTTTTCGATGTCCGGCAGTTGGAGGCATTCGTGATCAGTGTGGGCACCATCGATGATTACATAGAAATGGCAAGGTACGAGTTGAACACCTTCAGCTTTGTGAGTGTTTATGACTGGAAGATGTCAGGCTATGCACAATAATTATTGATAGGCTCTGAACTAGATTTCGCTCAAATTTAGTGAGGTAGGTCAGGTACGGAAACAACACCTTTGTATACATACATATATGTATATATATATACTTAGGGACTTTTTCAGCTGTTGATACTCCGATGTAGACTACACGATCAACACAGTGGAAAATTCAATCATTCTACTTAAGCGCTGTATTTAGCCCAGTTTCAAATCCTAGTCGTCATCTAATATTTATATCTATATATATATATATATAATATATATATATATATATATATATATATATATATAATATATATGTATGTATATATATATATATATATATATCTGCATCTATATCTATATCTATATCTATATCTATATCTATACGTATGTATATATGTGTGTCTATGTGGCTGTGTGGCTGTGTAGCTGTGTGTCTGTGTCTGTATCTGTGCTTGTTTTTGTGTGTCTGTATCTGTGCTTGTTTTTGTGTGTCTGTGTGTCGGTATATATATATGTATGTATGTTTGTGTGTGTACGTGCGTTGGTGCGCTGGTGCGTGTGTCTGTGTTTGTTGACGAGGTCGAATAGAGTATCATAATTCGCTACGTGTTTCTGCCCGATCCGCCTTGGATAGCGAATCTACCCAACTGGAGTGATCTGTGACTTATTTCTTCCAACTTGCATATATCGCTTCACTCCTTTGGTACTTTAGGTCAGCTAATCCAATACAAGCTTTCTTCCTGCGGATGCCCGCACCCATACCGGAAACCGCATTAGACACTGCCATCCAAGCGGTCCAAACTTCCAGGACAAGATGCATGGAGGCTATGGCCAAAGCCACTGACGCTCTATCAGACCCCAGACAAACGGTGTACACGAGCCTCTCCCACGCCAAACGGCTACCCAACGTAGCCATAACCAAGCAGTCCATACTTTGGGCCGGAGACTCATTGCTGCGAAATGTGTACAGTGCACTGTGTAGGCGCCATTTGTGGGACGAAGAGTGTGAAGGGTCGATGGTCACGAATAAATTGGCTTCGGATAGGAGCGTGGCGTTTCATTGGGCTCCGTCAGTGTACTATCAGCAACCTACTGCCCTGCTAAATACGGGACATTACGATAAGCTGGTCGTGAGCATGGGTGCCTGGGATCTTGGTAGGGCAATCTCAGACTGAATATTTCTACATTTTGTATGCTATGGTGGTGTTTGGGATCTTGGTAGACTGCATTTTTAACTATTTCTACATTTTGTATGCTGTAGGGGCGTACGTATGATGGTGTCTATGAACTTATGCATTCTTACATATAGCAATCTATACGCGTCACATAGCGGTTCAATGTCATGGTAGAACTGTTTCTTTTCTTGGTTCTATCGCCTTGTGGCGTCCACGGTATGGTAGATGCTACTACTGGTGTTCGCAATCAAGATTGAATCTCGAGTATGCGCCATGTCCGTATGATCTCACGAGCTACTTCGAAGCATTTCAAAACATTGTATATCTGTAGATCTTCTGATCGCGGTGGTCGCTTGCTAGTGCGCCCTGTCTCGATGTCTGGACTGAGTCTCTTTCTCGTACTCCCATCATCGCACAAGTATCCGCAAATTCATAATCCAAATACAGACAACCGAATATTTTGGCAAGAAAATTCATAATCAGCTACTATTTCTTGATACCTGTTCAACCTTATCCATGGGTATTACTATCTGTTGGCAAGAAGTGCGTTTTTCTTTCGTACTCCTGCGTATGCTTACAACCACCCCGATGGAACTCTATCCCAACTAGTGTCTTCCCAACTACACATGGTACCCACATTGACGTGTGCGCACCCCCGCCCCCCAATCCTCTCTCCAATTGTAGGCAAGTACTTTAAGAGTGTGGACAACTGGTGCGACACCCTTGACAGGCGTATGCGCGAGTGGACGGTGGCGGCAGAACGTAGCAACACATCCGTGTATTGGTTCAGACTACACGCCACCTATGGCGAGACGTGTGCACCCGATAACAAGGATTGTCGGGAAGCGAATGACCCGCAGAGAGTCTCTGACTTTCGCGCGTGTGCCAATGCCAGTGCTCTGGCGCACAACGTAGCGGTGATAGATACGTTGGAGTTGACGGAGGGTCTGGATCCCGCGGTGGGGTATGGCCCTGGGGAAGCTGTGCACACACGAGGAACTCTGTTTGAGAAGGAGGTGGACCACTTTGAGAAGGTGTTTGGTTGGTCTGATACGGATACTGCCACCAGTAAATCGGGAGAGATAACAGCACAATCGATACACTGATTGGTGGTATAGGTTCCGTGGCTAGATATAGGGCCCAGGGTACTTATAGACGAGAACTTGTAATTTTTTGATAATATGTTTGGTTGGTCTGATGGGATACTACAACCGGCAATGTGGTAGGTAAATACACCAAGTTACCAAATATGTGGAGATTGTAGCCCAATCTATTCTCTGATTGGAGGTGTACGCCGTGTGGCTCTAAATCACACCGTGTGTGGACTGCACGGTCATCGCTTATGTTGCATGCTGGCGATGAGTGAACTGTCTGACTGATACGATGAATACTAATCACTTTCGTCATAGCTGAATATTTCCGTTCCAGAAGGCCGGCCGGAATGTTTTTTAACGTTCAAAGTTCATCAAGAGGCAACCATGGAAAAGCGCGATAATCCACATCGTATGGTCCATCCTAAGCTCTCTGAATGATTTTATTATTTTATATCGTCAGATGATGATATGCGACTAATACCGAACACTTTCGACGTGGCTGAATAACTCCGTTCCAGACAATGAACGTTTTCTTTTTGTGTGTGATGTAGCGTGTCAATAGACAACGAACAGTAGGCAGGGAAAAATCATACAGTGAGTACTGCACTACCAAGGAGTGTCTGTATGAAATAAAGCCCACGTATATGCGCTCCATACCTCTTTAGGTCATATATAGGTTTGTGTATAGTTATTTTAATCAACTGCAACGACGTAAAACTTTATTGAGCACAGGGCCGATATGAAGACAAATAGTACAACATGTAGACTTGTGCAATATTTCTTTACTGATTTTATTTGTCTTGGCTGTAAATAGGGATAATATTATTTATTTGTGCTATAGCAAATATCGCACAGTGGCCGGGGTTTGTACCCATTTGAAGGTACGTCTGTTTCTTCCTTTCATACAGATCTGTAAGGGTCTTGGCTTGTATGAATTCAAATGAATGTGATTTCGAAATTTACGTTAATCATACAAACACTCACAGGAGTGACAATTGATATACAATGTATGTTGCTAGTTTCACTGACACGTGCCTATCTCGCTCCACTTATTTTTGAGCGCAAGCTCTAACTGATCATCACGTTCATCGTATTGTATGAGCCACCTGCACCCAAATACAGAGTCAATTATAAACAACTTCCATGGATTGGGTTTGGCCCGCCCAGTGCTACAATTTGAATTAGCACCTATAATGCTATGTACATACATTGTAACTCATCTCCTTTAAATTAAATAATATTATCCATATAATGCAAATTGTTTTCGAAACACGGGGAATCTTTGCAGTATTATCATATACACATGGTACGCTATGACCAATTGCCTTGATTTCCAAGACACCAGTGTTTCACTATGTATCGAGATACTAGCAGTTGACAGGTGTACGTGATATCCATCAACTGAGTTTACAATTGCAGACAACAAGAGTAATACAAACAAGTTTGAAATGCAGATCTTTTTACGTTGTTTTGTTGCGCTCATTTGCCTTTGCAGCTTTACAATATACTTCCAGATGGTATATGTGGGCATTTACGCTGTTCTTGGTCGGAAAGTAATTAACTCTAATTACAATACAAACATGCTGTCAAATACTAAAACCCTGATGCTATATATTCAAAGCGGGGATTTAACGTTCATAAGATTCAACAATCGATTGTTCTTGTACATATTAGTAAAAGCCACCGATGAAATATATCAATATTCGCATTAGCATTGCAGTTTCTACCGCGCTTGTACACATTTGCATGTGTGTTCTCACTAATATGCAAGCAAACGTCGATTGTTAAATCTTATGAACGCTAGAAAAATGCTTAAGCATATACAGTATCAGGGGTACCAATTTTTTTTTTTTGACAGCATCTTTGTGTTATAACAACCTTATTGTCGCATGGACGATGAATGAGAAACAATGAATACATTATTCTCTATTTCCATCTTTGCTTTGCGACATCTAACGTGTCTACATATATTTTAGATGTATACTTGTAGTGCATCTTAATTCGAACTTCTTGCCGTTAAATAAATATTTGTGAGATGCTATGCAAACGAATCGTCGACTGTTAGTTTTTGTAAACCCTAGAAAAACGCTTCGAATATATAACATCACCCAAATATTCACTACCGCTTTGAGATTATGTTTAAGCAGCATCAAATATTTTTCTTGTAAGGTTTATAATTCTATTAGTATTGCTTTATCAGCTAGCTATCGGTACCGGTTTGAAAGGCATATTGCAGCGAATGGAGGTCTTTCCTAACAAGTTTGCTTATGTAATTCACTCTGACTTTCCGCCACCGACCCTCATAACCCTTTTCAGTGCAAAATATGTCTTCCCATGGAAATAGAATTTCACATCAAAATCCCCCGGGATAGACTACCAGAAGGTCATGCGACACTGCAACAATTTACATTTTTGTATATCGTTTATGAGTACTGTTTATGAAAACGGCTCAGCCTCGAGACGACAATTATATCTACCCTACCGATGTCTCGTTTTAGATTTTCTATTGTATGCAGTTTCAGTAGCAATTTACATATCCAATTTTTATAGTTTTCTAATCGCAAGAACTGTATAACCAATCAGTGTAAAATGTTGATATTATTATTTATCAACTACACTAGTCTCTTGCCAGTGTAAAAGTGTAAAAGTCAGTATTGTAGAAGTGTTGTCAGTATCTATACGCTGACGAATGTATGCACAGGATACACAATTGCAACTCTTGTGAGAATTTCAAAAAAAAGAAAATTGTACTTAATTGCCAAATTTATAATCATGGTATTTAGCAACGTATAGAGACAAGATTCTCAAATCGAAGACGGTAATCGAAAATCATCAAACTGACACTTATTTCACACTCTTATTTAGCGATACCCAACTTCGGGTACGCCATAATTTCATCGCTGACAATATAGTACATTGATTCAAGTATAATTAGAGCAACATAATTTTAATAGCCATGTATTTATCAAGTGCACACATTGCGCAATTCTACTGATCGTGCCGTATTTCATTGTTCGTCCATTAAACAACTTCATCCACACATCAATATGATTGATTATATACAGATCGCAGCAATGGATTGCAGTATAATTGACTGTTTATAGTTTTCTAGATTTCAATATCACGTATTCCCAAGATAGACATAAATTTTAATCCTATTGTTGCGTGGGAATTTATTGAGTGCCACTCGATGATATATTTTCCAATGTAAGATTAGCAAGGCAGTTTCCGATGCGCTTGTATTCAAATATGTAGATATTAGTGGTCTCTTCTTGTTCAATATTTTATAGCCGCACGTGTTTTACCTGCATGTACTGCGCGCCTTAGAGTAAGAACCAGACGAACAGTTGAATGCGCATTGAATATTACGCGATATTGATTTTAGCGACCTTTGAACTATTGTTTGTCTAAGTGTCTTGAGCCCCTGATCACAAGTATACGATTCAACGATCAAGAATGATTGAGAATTGCATCCAAAGCAATGTTCAGATAACCAAGGCTTACTATCTTCACATAGACAAGGAACGAACCCTAGGTCTTTTTCGAAATACCTCTGTATAGTTGACCTTCCGATCCCGATCATTTGGGCACCGTCAAGCGGCAGAGATGATGGGGAATTGAATGGTTCTGTCGCGGTTTTTGCTTCTAACAGTGTTAAATCTTTAGGTTAAAATGTGAGCTGTACTATCTCGTTGCGTAAGCATGTTCCCTGTTGCTGGAATAGTCGTTTTCTTCTTCTTCTACACAGCATTGTCACATAAACTCAGATAGACATTTATCCGAGCTCCAATTAACAACGTAATCTTGATATAGTTGTAATTGACTGGGGTCGATAAACATCAGGACTCTATCTTAATGCATCTCGCCAAGATAAGTCCGGCCTGCCGGCGCTTCTCATATGTACCTCGATCCGTATATAGATCGCAATTTGAAGCGTGATGCCCAAATGCCGTTACGATAACCGCGATAAGGTCTAGTAGGGTTTTAGAGTTTTTTTTTTGTCGATTATTATGATACACGTGCAGCATGCATATCATTACAGATCTCCAGAGCGACGCCACTTTGTACCCACTCTACTACGTTCCATCTGCGGTTTCTATAGCAGCCGACCATCATGTCTAAGGTCAATGTGAAGGAAGTGACGATAAAAACCCCACCGCAACATGGTCAAAGTAGGAAGATAGGATCAGACACAGCGAGTTCCAAGTCGAAACTACCTAAAGATTCTTCCACCAAAGCTAATAGAGCGACAAAAGGAAAAGGATTTGACAAGGGCGGTAACACAGCAAAACAAACAAAAACTAAAGGAGGTAAGGGGAGCGATATTGACAATATCTTCGCAGCAGCGAAACCAACCAAAAAATCAAAACAAACAAGCGAGATAGACGATATATTCTCTAGCGCGACAAGCAAAAAGAAGAGTAAGATCACGCACGAGGATGGAGATGGCAGTACTGACAGTGATGCGCTGGCCGGAGACGAGTCAGAGGAAAACGTTTATTCAAAGTTAAAGAACAAAAAGCGACAGACCGCAGCAGTAATTAAACCCGCCGATGACGATGATGATTTCTTTGATGCGCGTGGGTTAAAGAATAGTAAGAGACGGAAATTTGACGGGTGTTTGGTATATCATTATGACGAGTTGAAGCTAAGTGCGAATGCTGGAAAAACGGACGATTGTCCTTTCGATTGCAGGTGCTGCTATTAAAATTAATTCATTGTTATGTAAGCCAGGGTATTTCATAACGTCTACGATCAACGACCTACATGGTGCGCGTACACTTCGATTCACCCAACCATCACTTACACCGTTGTCAAGATCAACGTGCATCCAATTGCGACAGTAGTGCAAAGAAGGCCTAAATTGTTGTGAGATTAACCTACAGGAGCGGGTGAAGTATATATGAGCCCCATGTTAAATCAAAGTGTGGCGCCACAACTGAAGATGCTATGTGCCCGATATCACTGTATAGGACTACGCAGACTCGACGGCTTCGAGGTTACCGAACAACCGTTTATCGCTGTTTTGTTCTCATGATGTGGCAATAGACATTACACGTAGTTTGCTTAATACAACACTGATTGAAGGACAAGCAGTGACTAAGGTAGCACACTTTCACATCTTTGCTCCATTTGGGGAGAGTTTAGTTTTCCAGCCGTGTCTCTCATATGACTAGAACCATGATTTCAGAGTAACTATTTACACAGTTCGTTCAGGAACAGACATAGCACAAATTGGAGAAGATATATAACTCTCCCATGTAAGTATATCCATCGCAACCAAAAAATACAAACACATAGATACAAATTCGTATTTTTATGCTTTATATGCTCGATTGAAAATATTTCATTTTTAAAGGAATTACGAAGTAATTGGTAAACTATTATCTACCCATTCGATGACGGTCCAGAACCAGAAGCGAAACATATACATGCACACTAATATGAACAAGCATATATAACTGCATTATATATATTTATATATATATATGTATATATATATTTATATTTATATATATATATATATATATATATATAATAAACAATATAAATAATATATATATATATATATTATTATTATACTTATTTATTATTAGTTAAT